TAAAATTAAATAAATTAAATTATGCCTCTTTACTTTCTTAGAATAGAACAACAAATTAATAAACAACAAAAACATAAATGTTTAGACTAAATAGCTTCAATTTCATAACATTATACATTTATTATTTTTATTATATTGACGTTTCAGCCATGCCTGGCTAACAATACAGAAGTTATAATGATGCAGCACATGTGCTTTCATGTTACAGTATCCAATAATATACAACCAGTCACATATTGTCTGAGGGTTTTTCAGCAGAAATCTTTGTCTGCCATTTCCCTCCACACTTGGCTCCTGTATTTTTGGGATTGAAATTCTTTGCTGACACATGTACATCTCCCCCCCTCTAACTTTCTTGTGAGATCTTGAATCAGCCCCTTAACTGCTTCCTCTTTCCTGGACTTTGTTTCTACATTGTACTGTTGTTCACCTATGCCTTGTATGACATAGCATTACTGGTGACTACCCTGTGAATTTGGGTCCTGTGGAGCCAGGCTTACTCTTTTCTCAAAAGTGTTGGAGACATTTACCATCGACCCTTCTGTCAATCAAGTTTTGTCAGAAGGACTCTCCCTCCTTTTCTTCGAACCTACCCCCCTTTTACCCTGTCCCATTATTTTTTCCAGCCTTTGAGATCCTGCTTCCTGCCTGCATCTCACAGAAGCAGTTCAAGTCCTTCTCTTCAAGAGCACCGTTGGACAGGTTTCTTCTGTGCTTCCAGGTGTCTTTTCTCAAATTTTTATCATCTCCAAGAAGACCAGGGATTGGTTTCTGGTGATTGATCTGTCCCATCTGAATTGCTTCCTTGACATACTTTGGTTCACCATGGAATTTAACTGCCTCTCAGATGGGCCTTTCTTCCAGGGCTTTAGATAACAAGTTTCAATGTGTCTGACACATATCACATCTCTTCACATAGGCTTCACATTGTTCTCTATGTTTTGTCCACGAGGATCATGTTTATCAATTCTATCATTTTATGGACAACTGATTTCTTCTGGCTCCATTCTTTGCAGAGTCTTCCTCACACACCCAACTTCTCCTTAGAAAAGCTGATCTTTTATCAAGGTGGAGAAGTCCATTATCCATCCCATTTAATATCCTGTTCATTTGGTGATGTTTTTCAACTTGCATCTCATTCAAGCCCAACCTCCTCTTTATTTGCAATAAATGGAGTTTTTAGTTCAAGGGGCACTATCAGCATCTTCTCTCCCTACATAAGGGATTCTGTATCTTTTGAGAACTTGGGCATTACTGGAGGCATTTATCCCTCTTGGCCATTCCGACATGTGTTCCTTGAAGTACTACAAGTTCATTGGCATCTCATCAGGGACCCTCTGGATATACTGATATCCCTTCCCGATTACCTTCAGTCTGGCTTCCTCTGGTTGTTAGATGGGGACAATACACCAGTGGGGGTACCTATTCCTTCTACCCATCCAGATGGCCATGTCTTCACAGATACCTCATTGTCAGGATAGGTTACATGCTGTACAAAGGAGATCTCGACCCATTGGTCTCAGGGAGAGTTAGATCTTCACATCAACCTTTTGATACTCCATGCTGTTTGTCTAGATTATGATTCATTCCATCAACTTGATGGTTGTCTCTTACATCATCAGTCAAGGGGGCACTCAATTCCAGTCTTTATGTTCCTGCACTCTGGATCTCCTCTTCTAGGTTCACAGCTGTCAAATTCGTTTGCTGGCTGGTCACATAGTGGGTGCCCTCAATCCTGTCATGGAGTGGTCTCTTGACCCCCATGTACTCCGATGGCTAGGTTCCTAGTTGAATACTCCTCAACTAGGTGCGTTTGCCTGTCTTTGAATGCCTAACTTCCGCTATTTTGGTCTCCAGTTCCACATCCTTTGGCTTTGGATGTATTGACTCAAGATTTGAAGGACTTTTCCTTTATGCATACCTTAGTATCTGTTTTCTACCCTGAGTAATTTTTCTCATCCACTCCATTCTGTGTCAGGTTCTTCTCTTGGCTCCTTTCTGGCTGGCTCAACTGTGGTTTTTGTCTCTTATCCAGGAACAACATTCATTACCTCTCCATCTTATCTGGTTCTTCCTCTGGTAACTTCACTCAGTGGAGCTTCATCCTTCTATTCCAACACTCTGCCTTTTGTCTGGTCCCTTGCAAGGGGTTCAGAAATATCCACAAGTGTAGTATCCCTATTGTCTCACTCTGTCCATTCATTATGTCTGTGTATCAATGTAAATGGAAAATATTCCATCTTTAATCTATCCAGCACTGATTCTCCCCTTTCTCAGATACCTGTTTTTACATGGTTATTTAACAGGGGTCTGCCATTTTCAACCATTGTGGGCTATGTCATTTCTCTCTAGTTATTTTCCTTTCTTCCACATCCCACATTTACTCCTGTTCTGATTTGGACTGTCTCCTGTGTCCAGTCTGTGCTTTATGGTGTTATGTGTCATACACAGCACCATTCCATGGATTTTGCTCCTGTTTCTTTATCCATTGGAGTCCATCCATTTCTCATGATATTCTTTTATCCTCTTTACAAGTTGTGTTCATCAGGTTATTCTTATTGCAAATTCCTCTCTTTTTCCTGAATCTTGCCAATTGTTGTGTATTGTCCTATCTGATCCATCATCTCCCAATGTCCTTTGCTGCTTGTTACTGTAAGGATTTTTGTATATGGCTGGATTCTTTACAGTAGGTGTCTGTGACTTGTTGGCGATAAATTTGAACAACAGATGAGCAGCACACAATCCACTTATTTTAAAATAATGCATATAAAACAAGTCAAAAATATGCACAGAGTTCTATATGTTATAGATTATCACAGTTGTATTTAAAACTCTAAATAATTCTCTTTTCTTGTTGAAAGTCCACTCAGGGTGTTTCAGTTACTTTAGAATCCAACTGACAAGATGAATTATTTTTCTCAACTCCATTTCTTATTATATGATCTGCAATAAATTCATTTACATTACCCAGTGGTTTACCACAGTTCTATCCAGAACTTTAATTGTCTCCTTTTCGTCAAAGTTCACACAGTTGGGATTATTTCTTTAGAACACCCCTTTGACAAAACAAATCATTCTCATGATCTCTGTTAAACCATTCAGCATGGGCTCGGTACCTGGGATTGAACTCATAACCATTTTTGTGTTTAACCCCTCCCTTAGATTCATGCCTGCTTATTTGACATTAAAAATTATAGTTATTAATTTCTGGACAAAATAAATGGGGATATTGACCCACTGGACCCTTCCCCCTAGATCCATTTCTGTTTATACATCATTAAAGAATATGGTTGTGCAATTATAAATATATATATATATATAAAGCATAAAAATCTGTGTGTCATTATATAACTACTCGTAGGTCGCTGGGCCAACCCCAACCAAACATTGTTGGATGATAGTTTGGAAAACCAGGTGTGTTAATGGGTGGGTTCATAACCCCTCCACCCCACATTATTGCTGTTATTGAGCATTTATTATCTTTGACATAAGTTAACGTTAACTAAATCCATAGGTGGCACCACATCCTTATACCAAAACAAAAAAATCTTTATTACGTTTCTATAACACAATATACAGTGTGGGGAGAGAGCACACAAATGTTTTATATATCTCAGTGTGTGTGCTAGCACTCTCAACAGAAGAATACAACAACAAAAATGGCCACCACTATTGCAATAATATATAAACTCAGCTGAAGTTTCTACTCCAACAGCACCATAAGATGATATGAAGAACCATATCATGAGTTATACTTCCAACTTTAACCTGTGACCTTTAATTTTGGCCCATTAGACACTTCTGCAGCCAATAACTGTCAATTAATTACTCATGTGAAACGCCGTGGAAGACCGTTAAGAGGTGAGTGTTGAAAGCGGGTAACAGAGAGCACCCCACCTGCCACTACTTTGGCCAATACCTCTTCCTACAAAGTCACCTTGACCATCACACTGTATACCATGTTTTAAGTATGTACATATTGAGTTATTAAAGCTTATACAAAACATTTGGTGAGGTAATAATGGATACTGTTATAAATAAATTGTGTGAAAGTTATGATTTTTGTGTAATTTATCATAGCCTCCAACCACACAGTTTTTTATTTCATAATGCAGACAAAGAACAGGTACCTCAGCTTGTTAGAAATATAATGTAATGTTAAAATACAGCAAATTCACACTTTATTTAACCCTTAAGTAGGCAGCAGGTGGTGCCAGCTAGTTGTCCTCTTAGCAAGCCAGCAGCTCAAAATTAGTAACAGTGACATATGTCTTTGCAATAACAAATACAGGACAAGCAAGTTTAGTAGCAATGTGAATCAAACCTGATGCCCTCTAATCAGAAGGCTCTCCCTTTTTCTTCCAGTTGTGTAGCTTTGTGCACAACAACAAACATAATGGCAACATTGATTACTTGGATAGTTGGAATAAGCAAAAATTGTCAATAATGAGAAACCATAATTTTGATTATGTGATTATTTTGCAGACAATGAATTCAGTTGTAATTTTGATAAATTGATTATTTTCATGACATTAATAAATTAGTTTATGAGACACAAATAGATTTATTGCTGCTCATAGTTGATTTATTAATCAATTAAATCACTTATCTATAATTTCAAGTATTCAAATATGTGCGGGTCGTTTACAAGTTTTAAGTTTCAAATACTCGTTTTTGTTTACGAGCAAAACCTGATATATTTATAAAACATGGATAACAAATCTTGAAAAATAAATGAATTTGTTATTAGGAGGAAAGCATTCTAAGTCGCAGGTGGTGATTGTAAGGGGAGTAAGGTATCAAATGGATCCCAGTGGTAGGACCTTGCAGAAAATCTCAAACATGAATTCTGAAAATAAAGGTAGAAGTCAAAAATTTTGACATTCTCTGTTATTATGACATTGTATTTCTAAAGGTAAATAAAAAAAATCATGTAACTATAGTACAGTAAATTTATTATTTTGCTTATTAAGAACTTTTTTTTTTCTAAAAGTAAAAATGCAGATTTTACTCAAGTAATTTGAGATGGTCATTTTCAGTTTATTATGTCCTTATTGGTGGAGAATACAACCAGTTGAGCATAAGAATTCTGTGTGTAGTACTGAAAAAGTTGTTGACTGTTAATATAAAACTTGCAAAAGCTCAATTTTTGATCACTCTATCTATTTTTTAAGGTTTGTGTTTTTACTTTCTGATGCTATTTCTTTTACTTTCCAGTTTGCCATTGCTAAGTGTTTTCTTACTTTTATTTTCCACACAGTTTTAGATCATTAATCATTTTTGTGTTTGAAGAACAGTAAGGAAAAAAACATTACAAATGGTATATTTGGACTGTTAACTTTTTAACTTGGCATGTTTTTTTAAGAATTGCTTATTAAAAATTAAGTATCATATAATATGCAGTTATTTAATATTTTACTTTCCATGTTTTCTTCTTCATACCATTTTTTTCCTATTATACCTTGCTGTTAAAAGGATTTAAATAATCTTATCTGTATGTTAATATTACTAACAATTATGTGAGTGGATGAGTCTTATTTGAGTGGAACATAAGTGCTTCTTTTGTTTTTTTTATAATGCAAGGTTTTTTTACCTTAAATTTCAGAAGAAAAAGTAGTTGTGTTTTAGGCAAGAGTTTACTATTGCTCATGTCAGTCCAAATTAAGTAAAAAAAAATTGAAAAGAAAAGTGAATACTTATGTAGGCATATGAACTTATTTTGTAAATTGCAGCATGGACAAAGGAGAGCAGTAGAAGTGTACTGAAAAGAATTGATCTTGGTAGGGCCACATATGTTCAGACTAAACCTGGTGTTCTTACCAAAACTGGGTTCTGTGAAGCCAGAAGTTTTGCCAGGTATGCTGGTCTATACTACATGGTAAAAATAATTGTAAGATACTTATATCAGTTATTCTGTTAATAAAAAGTCACAATTTTTTAGGCTTTTGTTTGTGTGTGTTCTTAAGAAAAAACATGAATATTTTGCAATTGCTTGCTTACCTGAAAAGCTGAATTTTTGGAATGAAGAGTAAAATACAGATATACAGTTTAGTTTTTGTGCTGTACTAATAATAACATTGCAGTGATGAACAATAATTATTTCCAGAAATAACTGATGTTATTTATTTCTAAAAGTATTATGGTTGTATCAAATATGAGTTTGTGAATAGAGCTTCTCATCTTTATTTTCTGTTAATAGTCAAGCAGTATCTCGTAGTATTAAATGTGTGTTGGAAGCTTTTCAAAAGAAGACTAAAAGAAAGACAAACCAGTATTGTATGTTTTTCAATCGCTTTGGGAAGTGTCACAAGAGAAACATTTGTCCATACATTCATGATCCTGAAAAAGTAGCTGTATGTACAAGGTAGGTGCAACTTTCAGAAAATGTTAACACATTTTTGCATTTAGTAAGTTCCATAGTAATATTTATCATGTATTGTTTTGTATTTTTCATAAGAATTATGTCATCAATTTCATTTATTTCTTAAGTTTTGAGTATTTCTGTAAAGGATTTTTACAATAACAGTTAATAGAAATCAGTATTAAAAAGTATGAATGTTAGTTTATGATTAGCATAACTTATTATTATAATCACAGTTTTATTTACCCTATGCATATGGGGTTGATGATTTCACTGATCTTATTACCACTATGTAACCATGAAACTGTACATACTATAACTGAATGTACTAAGTATATCTTCACAAAATTCAGTAAGCTTTTATAAAAGTTATAAGTCTGTTTTACACAAAAAATCATAGTTTTGAATAAAGTATTGTACTAAAGATTTATCTGTGAACTTTTGAAGCCATTACTGAGTCAGTCTGAGAGAAAGGTGCTTTTCATACTAAAAATAAAAATATTTCTTTTCATCTTATAGTTTTTATATATATCACTTGCCTAACCTCTAGGACATCTAAATTAATATCAAAAGTTTTTCCATAAAACTATACTCTTATCACTTGTTTTTTCTACCCTAACTGAGCAAAGTCCTCAGTGTACAGTGAAATGAAAAGTTGAAAAAAATAAAATAAAATGAATAATACTTTTTTTTCTAGAATGACAGCAGATTGTAACAGACAGATACTATTATTTATTATAACAGCCTCAGCTTCTAACCTTTTCACATATGCTTTGTTTTTGTTTATTACTTGTAAAGTGTACTTTGGACACTTTCTCATTATGGGAAAAGCAATAACTCACAGCAAAGGATAGCTTAGTGTAAACAAATGATCAAATTACAATCACAAAGCTATGTGTGAGCTGATCTCATAAATTATCTGAATTTGAGTTTTATTATCTAACATAGTAAGTTTTAATTTTTTGCATTTTAGTTACTTTTGTTAAATATATAAAGTAAATAAAAAAACAAATAATTTACTTTTACTTAGCTGTTTAATCCATTTACACTCAGATGCTGTGCTTTAGTAAACCTCCTTTTTGTCTTTACTTTTAATGTCTTTACTGTAATTTACTTTTACTTAGCTGTTTAATCCATTTACACTCAGATGCTGTGCTTTAGTAAACCTCCTTTTTGTCTTTACTTATAAATTGGTTGCCCAAAGAATAATTCATGTAGCTATCACGTTTACATTTTTTAACACAATAAATAAGAAATAAACATAAAAAGCTAATAATATACAATTACTTAGATGTGTTGGGACATTTGAACCCATATGTTGTGTGCTGTAGTAATCATACTTTTTTCTCACTGTTAGTTTTCAAAAATTAATTCATGTAACTTTCAAAAATGCACACAAAAAATATATCAAGCACTAGAATAGGATGTCTTTAAACTACTATAATTTATCTTGCTATCTAACTAAATTTTATTCCATTACTGCTTTGAGCGATGACTTGACTCAACACACACAACAAGCTTTTTTTTGAACTGCTGACACTGACTGCCAAAAACTGAACAAATGCAAGAGTCCTGTACATTACAATATTCTCTTTCTACTGATTATAAACATACCCATCAAATAATTACACCTGGTTTAGACAACTACCCTAAGGTTGTGATAAGATGGAAGGAGCTTCTCTGGTAGGTATGACAAATTTATTGATAACTTAGAAAATCAAAAGGTAGGAGGCTCAAATTTTATACTCTGACCTGTCATAATTTGTAGTACGTGTTTCTTCTTTGTTTGATACTCTTAAACTCTCATAAGGGAAAGAAAGAAAATATAAGGGAAAATTCAGAGTATGTGATGCCACACTTAAGACAAAGAAATGAAGATTGGGAATTTATTTTGTTTTGAAATTAAGAGATTCAGACTTAGATAATATAAAAATTTGAATTGTAAACTACACTTTCATGCAAATTTTTTACAACACTTTCATAGTGAAGTTGTTTGATTAAATGTTGAACTTAACTCTTTAAAAAGATTGTGACATGCACACTTTGATCCACTTTAATGCATAGGGCCAACATTATTTAAAATTATAGTATTGGATTTATTGAGAATATATTAGATAAAATAATATGCACTAACTTTGTACTGAGCTAGAGTATTCTTCAGACACAATTTTGTTAGCATTGGCTTAACTAGACTTGTTATTCTTACAGTTCTACAGCCAGTATCTAACTTATCGCTTTCACAACACCATTCACCATTGTTAGGTGTTTTAACTCAGTATGTTTTGAATACAATTACAATTTTGTTCTCACTATTTTGTTATTTACATTTCTTAAACTAAGCTTGCAACAAGAGCATATTTTTTCCAATCACTTATTGTCATATTTTCCAGGAGTTTTTATTAACAATTTGCATAGATCATGACTATTCTGTATTCCTTCAAATGTATCCTATCAAAATGCTCATTCATCTTGTGATATTATCTTTCTTCCTCCTTGCAGGTTTTTACGAGGAACGTGTAAGGTTGTGGACTGCCTATTTTCCCATCAGATCTCTCCAGATAAAATGTCTGTATGTTCTTTTTTCCTTCAAGGCCGTTGTAATCATGACAAGTGTCCATACCGTCATGTAAATGTCAACCCAAATGCTGAAATTTGTAGAGACTTCTTGAAAGGTTACTGTCCAGCCAGAGATCAGGTATAGTTAAAGAGTCTTATTTTGTACAATATTAAGAACTCTTTTATTTCCCTCCTTCCTTTGAGTACATCACGTCCAGAGTCTTTATACAGAGTTGTAACAGAAAACAATTTAAAGCTCTGTATTATATATATATATATATATATATATGCATGTGTGTGTATTGAAATTACTGTTATCGGTCCAAGTTGTCAACTTATTGTCATAACAGATAATGTTTGTGGTAATAGTACCCAAGTGCATTGGGGATATCCCATCTATCAGACAAAATCCAAACTTCTATTCAGCCATCATGGAAAATCATAAAAAACTCAATCAAATAAGGTTACGAAGCTGAGTGCTTACACCCACAATGTCTCAGCTTCTACCGCCTTTCACTGTCTATAGCCAGTTGTGGAAAGGCAGTTACCCTTCAATTTCTTAAAGTAGAAATGACGCCACCCTAATAATATATATATATATTATTACTATATAAAAATAAGTTCTTAAGTTTCAGTTATTTTTCTTAAACATAGATCAGTAAATAAAGAAGTAAATAAAACATTGATCTCTTCTACTTACAAAGTTTGTACTTGCTTGTTGTTATTTACTAAGCCTTATCAAATTTCTAACATAGAGGATTTAAAACAAAATAATTTTTTTAGGTTTTGTTCATGCATTTTAAAATAACAGAAAATTATGAATTACTATATCAGTAACACAGAATTCCACTATAATTTATCAGGCTTAATAACTAAGCTGTATTTGGGTTTAAAAAATATGATATTTTGAACTCCATTATCTCTTACCTCTTCTCTTTGATTCTACCATGAAAAGGAATGTTTTCCCACGTAAACACATTGCAAATGCTGAGAAAACCATGTGGTGGACATTCTGAGCTTTCAATTGGTTATACACATGTCGTAGAGCGACGTAGGTGTACGTGAGGAAGCATTTCCAAAAATAGAAGAGGTGGTCAGATTAACTAAAAATAATAATAGCTCAAAAGAAAAGATAGGAGGTTCTTATTTTATATTCTAACGGTATTGGTAATTTAAGTTTCTAACTTGTAAGAAATTATTTACTTTGTATTTGGCAATCACAAACATCTAATATGAACCAAAGCTGCATTCAACATACCATGCGACATACAAAAAGCGATATTTAAGAAATTCTTTTTAATATTTACGTTTAAATTAAGAAATTAACTAATCTATATTATTAAAATCTGAATTATAATCTACAGTTTGATACCAACTTATTCACACACATTCATAAAATAGTAGTTCAATAAAAATTTGAATGCGAGTCTACAAAAGAGATGACATGCCCTATGACCCCTGACTATAGGGTTAATAGATTTAGACAAGAAAATTAAGAGTTAATAATTTATTATATCCTGGTAAAGTTCTTTCATGTACTTAATGTTAATACAAATTATTTTGCATACATTTTCTAGACTAACTGTAAATTAACAAGTTGGTGGAAAGTGGCACTATAATACCTGGTCTATGGTTTGGGCAATGCTTAATGATGTAGTAAAATGTTTAAGTGGTTACTTGAAAATCTTAGGTTAAAGGTCTGACTTAAACATTCTAATATACTGTTATCAATATTAATTTAGATTGTATGTTTGCAGTGTTGTTTTTTACTAGTAATAAAAGTTTTGTAGCCTTGAAACTTTTGTAACAAGTTTTATAATTACCAATGTGACAGTATTCTGTATGATTAACATAGATATGAAATTTAAGTGGGATGCTGATATAAATGATATATCAGTGTGAAATATATTATAGTTTGACATGTAAATTATTTCAAATCCAGCACACATGATGAATAAATACATTAAATTTATCGACCTACATTTACTTGTTTGACAGTTCTGAATCCCCTCTGATGTGTTTAACAGGTGTTGTTGATTCAGTTAGAATAATAAACAATTAATTTAGTGGTTGAATAATTGTGGTAAAATGATATCATGGAAAAGATGTTTAAAAAAAAAGGAAATTAAAATATCTTAAACTTGTCAGTGTAAAAAGCAGCATGTACTATCTTGTCCTGAGTTTAAGAAGACTGGACAGTGCCTTAAAGGTAGCAGTTGCCCCCTTTCTCATCCAGTGAAATCAAACATGAAGAGTACTTGGCCATCCATTCCTCAAAAAGAAGAAATGCCTTTGCAAGTCCAAGACAAGAAAGAAATAAAGCATTGTCAAAAAAGGTAGTTCTAGTGCAGTATTTTATTATAACATTGCTTTTTCACTTTTAAAAGAGTTAATGAATTTAGTCAGTAAGTCTGACAGAACACCAAGGATATAAACCTATTCTTTAATTCTGAATTTTGGACATAAACACTGAAAATATATTTTCACTGTTGAAAGAAAAGTTATCTGTGTTAAAAGGGGATAAAAACAAAAATCTTATTAAACACCTAGAACAAGTCAATTATTGAATAGGACATGTGCTTTTCCTGTTAAATATTTGCATTATTTCGTAGCAATATGAGAAAATGTATAAAACATTCCTTTTTTTATATAAATCTTTGATTTTTCCTTCTTCTTTAACCAAACTATTAATGTTACTGAAGTTCTTCATACTTGGTGAATATTTGGCTGCAATATCTAACATATAGACTTATTGATAAAGCGTAGTGTTGATCAGATGATTACTTTATATGTCTTTCTGTAGTATTTCAGAAAGTAAAGACTCCATTAAAGAAACAGAGGATGAAGGAATTCAGCCCCCAAGCAAACTCCCCAGGTTACCTAGTTATATCTCTCTTGTAGATCATAGCAAGAAAGAAACACCTGAATCAGTGCAGGACACAAAAGGTAACCTTACAATACAATACACTTCATGGAATTCTGTGAATTAAGATGAATAAAGAATCTTTTAAGATCGAAATATTTCAAGTTTTCTCTAAGTTTGCATTGTATTAAAAAGATCTGCTTTTGTTTTCTGCATAATAAAACCATTGTTGAAAATTATTATACTCTATCGCTATGAAGTCAGTCGATTCGACTTACTTTGTAACCATTTTTGGACTCCTTAGTTTCATATTATAACTTTTAATAGAGTATGTGTATCTTCACGAGATTTGGCAGACATTCAGTAAACATTACAAGTTTTCTGCACACCAAAATTAGATTTTTTGTAATCAAGTATTTTTGCTAAAGATTTGTCCAAGTGCAAAGTGATTTCTACATTGAAATTAAAAATACTTTTCTTTTTCCCAACAATCACAAATTTCATTTTCATAGTCTCTAAATCCTCCTAAATAAATCTCAAAAACTTTATATCTTATGAGTTATTTTCTTTACCCTAACTCTATATGAATCTATGAAAGATTGGTCCTTTGACCAACCTTGTGATCACCAAAAACAAAAAGAAATGAATCTAAATTACCCCTTTTTTCTTTCTAAAATAGCTTCATATTGTAGCATGAAACTACATTTGTTTATCCTAAATAGCTTTAAATGTATTATATACAGTAACAGTTATACTTAAATTTTATTGTTTTACTGACCTTTGAACTGTGTCTAACAAATATTAACACCAAGTTGTAAATCATGTGGCAAATGTGCAGCCCATGTTACAGTATCGAATTACATAACACGTGGATTACTCACAAGAGTATCTCCTGAAAAAATATTTTTATTCCTTATTTTATCTTATCTAACCCAAAATGTTTACATTTTAGTTACCTTTATAATAATAAATAAATAACGCACATAAAAAAACAAGAAATAAAGTACTAACTTTGTTGTTCTTTTTTATACCTTTGACTGTCGACAACACTTAACCATTTGGGTAGGGTCACGGGGGAAAGGCCATGTCATCTCATTTGTTAACTCGCATTCAAAATTTTATTGAACTATTATTTCATAGTTATGTCAATAAGTTTGGTATCAAACTTTAGATTCAAATTCAAATTTTAGTACTATACATTACTCAATTTCTTAATTTAAAAGTAAATATTAAAAAACCCAGATAAGCATTGATTTTTGTGTGTCACGTGGTATGGTGAATGCAGCACTGGTTCAAATTAGATGTATATGAAGTCAAAATACTAAGTCTATAGTTTCGTATACAAATTAGAAACTCAAATTACTGATATTGACAAACTAGAATATAAAATAAGAAGGTCTTATCTTTTCTGTTTGCTAATATATTGTTCATGTAATAATTAAAACACAGTGGCACACCGCCCACGTCTTTCCATTTTTGGAAACTCTTCCTTATATGCACTTACATCTATATATCACATGAATAACAAATGGAAGCTCAGAATGTCCCTCTAGTGGCTTTCTCAGCTATTTTAACGGGCTTATATGTTATTTCTTTCTTTTGAACCAACATTTCAAGGAGGTAAAGTGTGTCTTTCATATTTTTTACACTGAAATATATCTTTGTTACTAAGCTGGAATTCTATGGTATTGATGTAGTAACTTATGATTTTTTAGTTATTCAAATATATATATAAAACCTAAAAAAAATTATTTTGTTTCATATCCTCCATGTGAAAATGTTTTTAAGGTTTAGCAACCTACGTCAAGCAGCAACTGAATACAAAAGTCATAACTAGAAGAGATAATTGTTTTGCTTTACTTCTTTATTTACAGTTTTATGTTTTAAGAAAAAGAAGTATAAGAACTTATTTATAAATAATAATAATCTATATACATATATAATGTATAATAATTGAAATTTTACAAAATACTAGTCTACTAAACACAGCTAAGACAAGTCAGTTGTATATTATTGGATATGGTGACATGAGAGCACTTGTGCTGCATCATTGAAACTTCTGTATTGTTTGACAGGCACGGCTGAAACGCCAATGTAATGAAAATAATAAATGTATAATGTTATGAGATTTAAGCTATTTAGTCTAAACATGTAAGTTTTGATGTTCCAATTTGTGTTCATTCTAGAATGAAAGAGGCATAATTTATATTTATTTCCTAATTTTTTATGGTGGTTACGAGATCGGTCAAATCTACCGAACCCGTACAGAGATTCAATACTAAAAATAACAAATAAAATATAAAGTTTTTGTTAAAGAAATGTTTGATAACTATCTGGACATTATAAAGATTTCGCATGTGAAATTTTAAACTTTTCTTATGCATAAAAGTATTTTTAATCTTAATGTTTAAATGTAATGTTTACTGATAATGTACCAAATTCTGTTAATATTTACTTACTAATTTAAAAGTTATAGCATGAAAACTATAACAAGCATTTGGTATGTTATTCTTGAAAACTTATATAGTAAATGTAAGCTTGTTTTTGATTTTATAACCTCTTCATAAATTTCAAAATATTATATGTTGGATAACTCACTCTTCTCTGTATGCGCTCCAACAGGCACATTAAAGTTGCTTTTAGACATAAAATGAACATTTTCATACACAATTTATACAAAATCTTGTACTAACTCAAGAACTGCACAGTTAATTTTTGTGATGAAGACATAATATGACAAATAATCTTAAACAAGTGTAGAAATTATGAAAAATCTTAGACAAGTAAAAACAATTTTATATGATTTTTTCTTCAATTATTCTGAATCCATACAATTAAATACTTTGGATGTTTATAGAGGTGTTTTAACTGTAATATACTGATGTCCCAAACACAAACCAGTTTAGAAGGAATGTAACGTCAAGTACTACTTAATTTTAGCATTTTGGAAATATTAAATGCAGAATGTCAAATAGAAAAACTAACTTCTGAAACTCAGAGAGAGAAATTGAAGCTTTATTAAAAGTGCTTGTGTATGTGATTTATCACTTCTTTTCTGTAAAAAATATTTAATTATATCCATTTTCTGTACCGTCATAAAATAAAGGGCTTACTTTTGCTAACCAGTAGAAAGGAAACCAGCTCAACATGATGTCTGAGAAATATTCAAAAACACTGAATGTTGCAAATACCACCCAGTACGTCAGCCACTTTGTGTCATCATCCTTATTACGACTTTCAATGGCTTGGATCCTGAACAGTAAGATACAAAACAGTATATGAAATAACACAAACATACTAAAACAAGTTATTACTTAAAATGTAAAGTTTCTCTTACTGTTCATGTACTTAACTAAATATCTTTTAGAAAATGCTCAACTGCCATTAGAAATATTTCAACTGATGTATGCAATAATACTGAGTTTATAAATTAGTACTACCTACAATACCTTATGAAATGGATCACTAAAGGCATAAATAAGTAACATGTAAAAAAGTTAGTGTACAGATCCCTGTATACATGGGTATTTTTAAAAATTGTTTTTAAACCATTTTTGGTTCATGTTACAAATATCTTTAGTGAAAACTGAAAACACTCCTGTTTCAATACTGTGATTATTGTTTTAACATTACTAATTCAGGACTTTTTTTCCTATAGCAACATAAGTCTAAAACACTTTTTGTATGTATTCATTCTTAATTTATCATCACTTCTTAACAGGCCTTAAACAGTTCTACAACTGACTATTAATAACTAAACTTTTAATGGTGACTTACGATGCATAAGCAGGATACACAAACCCAATGCTGTTACAAATAAGTTCTGCACCATGACCAATGACTAAATACAAAGCCAGTAATGTTATTCCTCCTAAAAAAAGGGGAAAAATAACTGTGTTTAAAAACAAAAAAAATCATTTAACTATCTTAATCTGAGACTCAAAAGCATACTGCTTATAATGGCTGAAGCCGGCTTGAATGGGTAATGAAGAAAAACTTTAATATAAGTTTAACATAACAGCAAATGTACAACGTTTCGACAAGGTTTTGTCATCATTGAATACTGCTTATGTTCACTCAACTCAGTTTTCCCATCTTACCTTTTTTTTGATATTTATAACTGATAAAAATATTTTATTTAAGTAATAGAAAATGCATGTATACCAAAACGTCGAAGAAAATTGGTTTTTACATCCTTTCTTCATTTAAACATATTTAGATTGAAGCATTGAATCTTGAACAAAATAGGGAAAAAATAAAAACTTTTATATAGATAACATCTCATTATATACAATTACAATAATATACACCAAAGGTATTTTTAAAAAAAGAAGCAAGTAAAAGGTATAATTAGTTAGAAATAAAACAAACATTACAAGAGAGAACATAGAAACTTAAAACAATTATTTCCTTCAAAGTTTCTTTCTCTCATACACAGAAACAAACATGTGTGTGTGTGTGTGTGTGTGTGTGTGTGTGTGTGTGTGTGTGTGTACACATATGTGCAAGAAACCTAAGTTGATTTATGAGGCAACACACGCACACCCTCCCTAGTTTTACAGCTTTCCTAGTATAGTATTGGAGTGCCAGTACACTTGCAAGACAACTTCCTCATAAATATGTAGTAATTTTTTAAGAGGAGACCATTATTTATTCACCAATGTAAAGATATTAGTATTCCAAGGATAAGAGTAAAGAAGAACGAACAATAATACTGTACTCAAACACCCTCCCCAATCCCTCTGTACTTCATTTGCCACTTCCACACTTATCACCTGTAGTGTGTGTGTGTGCACATGCAAAGGAAAATCTTAACTTCACATATATTGTATAAGGGTATCTTTTTAAAACTAAACTATGATCTGTAACTTGTAAAAGGTATAAATTAAATTCACTTGTATAGGTAACAGAAAGACCTCTTGTAGACAGTATCAGTAAGAATGAACATACTTAGTGTCCAAATAGATGCTGAAAGTTCATTATTTAGAAAAGAAATCTAAAACAAACCAAGTACAATGCATAATAAAAATTAGCATGTGCATTTAGTGCCATTTGCTTAATGGCTTCTATGTGTGCACATTGTTAATATTTTAAGCATTATATGTATGTAATTATTAAAAATGTACCAAGTACAATTGTTGTAATGATCAGATATCCATGATTAATTTGTGATGACCTGATAAACTGCTAATCATACTACATATTTCAAAAAAATAACTACATGCAAGTGATTAGCCACTTGGATAGCCAGACCATTATTGGCAAGTCACATGTATCACCAGGAGATCTAAACAGGTTTAGTTCATTAATACATCTAAGCTGTTAGCACATGATCACATTTAACAGGAAATGTAATGGGCAAAGCCTATTTCCTAGGAGCAGTAAACTAACATTGTATCAGTTCCTCTTCAACATATACATATTTCATTCAACTGTATTCAGTATATATTGTATACTATTATATATAGTAAAAGTAAATACTAAGTTTTTAGAATATGATAAATCAAAATGTATTTACTTTTGTATTAAAAAATCACAGGTTTATAACAACAGATATAAAAACAGTAAACTGTGAAATGTATAAATTTATTAATCTACAATAATGTACTTCCCTACTATTTCATTGATTTGTTGGTAAAATCTGCCATGTAAAAATATATTACATGGTGAAACATTAATTCATCAGTTTCTTACACAGTAAAAGCCAGAATGTGTCAAGAAATCTTGTATCATTTAAAAGGATGAATCATATCTCTTACAAAATTATAAAACTCAACCAATTAATTGTTATTTAAAATTTTCAAATTAGAATTTTGATTTGCCCATTTCTTTATACATTTTGATACAAACATCACATAATTTACTAACTTCTGTACAATTATCAAAGTAAAAAAACACTGAATACAGTAGTAATCAAAGAAACAATCCACCCTCAGGGAAGTAATTATATATGCTATTATTATTATTATTCACAACACTCATAACTTGAAATTAAAAAGGTAAAATAGACAAAAACTAGGAGTGGTCAGGTCATAAACCTAATACTAAAAACAATTATACAGCTGTAAAAAATGAGGCCAACCACTCATGAGACTACAAGCAAGTTTTTTAATAGATGGATGTATTAAAATAATGTAAAGGACATGGTATGAAACAAAAACTTGACTGCTTTAACAATCTTTTTTTTTGTATATGCATTCATGTAAATTTTTGTTGTTGTCTAATACTTTATGATCTAATAAAATCACATGATATGTACTGATTATGAATCCAAAGCAGTTCTCAGAGGACATTGTACAAGCACATGTAAAGAAAAACATACAATACTTGTACCACCCCTTTGACAATGCATGACTATGATGCAGAATACAACAATCTCAACTAATTTAGCTTTTCAAAACCACATACCTATATATATGATACCTATTGCTTTTGGATCCATTAATCTCACTAAAACACAGAACTTATTACTAAATAAAGTGAAACAGCTTTCTAGATTGATACTATTCTTCCAAGTCGTCTTTCTTGTTAACCAGAGGATCAAGATTTAAATAAGCAAATTTCCTCTTAGCTACATTGAACACAAGATCTAAAGCCTTGAATAAATCTGGCAAGTTGAACAAAGGCATTTTGCCAGCTATTGTAAAATGTCTCTTCAAAAATCTAGATAAAAAAATGTAAAAAAAAGCATACAGTACTTATACATTAGCTTAAGTCAACCTCAATGTTCTATATGGAGTCCTAAGAACACTAGCACATTTTATTTTTATAACAGAATTTTGGATCCTCATGACCTTCCTAAACAAATGTGCTTATTATAATGAAACTTTAAATTTTTCTTATAAATGCATGTTGAAGTTCAGGTCTAAAAGCCTATCATCACTCCAGTCTATATTAAAATTTAAAGATTGACTAAAAAGATAATTATGACAGTTGCTCTACTTGCATTAACATAAACTTCTGATCAAAGCAAGCTACCTACACAGATAAGAAAAAATTATACCCAGTAATGTGTATAGCTAATCAAATATTGTTCAAACTATCTTACTTATAATGATTACAATACATTGCTTCATCAATTAGGTGCCCTTGCTGTTAACAATATTTTAATGCTCTCTAAAGTACCTGTGGTTTGATATGCCTAACTAATTTACTTGAGAACTAGTTGGCAGATCCACCTAATCTGTATCTATAACTTGGTATACTGATTCCCAATACACTGAAATTTCCAAGTTCCAAGTCTGATTGTAGATTTTATCTACCTGTAACTTGTTAGATCCATTTAACTCTTTCAGCACGGCTCGGTCCCTGGGATTGACCTCGTAACCATTCTGTTATTATTATTTCGTTTTCCTTTTAAATTGTTAGTTGAAAGAATGTTGCATTTTTGAAATAATTACTTATTGTGAAATGTTGAAATAATGTGAAGGTAACATCTTAGAAAGTAGAGAGGTATAGGTCATAGGTCACTTCTGTGGAAATAATCAGTGACCATCTAAATAATCATCTTCACTGCCCTGTTAAAAGGAAATTAAACTGTAGAATACTCTGAACTGCTCTTTTATTTCTTTTGAGCAAGCATGAGATCACACACCCTGAACTTACTAAACCTGCATAACAGTCTTCCATACAGTTGCTGTAGAAAGTGTAAAGAATGTTGGAGTGAACACCATGAATAATGTGATTAGTGTTTAATCACTGTATTAGGAGTAAGCTGATTGCAAAAAAAAAGTTATTGAATAAAATCTTCAGCTGCAGAGCCGAGTCTGAAATGAACCGAACAAGGATCTGATGAAAAGAAAAACTTTCCTTACAAGAAATACTGACAAAACCAATCTCTTTTTTTTGAACAAAGTTAAATATACCAAATTTGTGAAACTTAAGTGAAGAAATTTAAAGTACTTGAGAAACTAGAAATATATTTGTGTCAAATTTAAAATTTTGCAATATGTAATAAACTAGGACTATATAGTTCACTTATTGTATCCATTACAACAAATGGTCAACATTTATAAATATAATCTGGTTAGCATACCAACCACAACTGTGCCTTGTACCTGGCATTATTGCAGGTCAACAAATTGTTTTATGCTGAATACTGTACACACACATTTCACTTAAAGCTTCTGTATTATACTAGTAAATCAATTTCACTCATTTGTCATCTTTCACAACTAATAATAAAAGATACAACATACCAGGCACAGCATTACATTTTTATAAGTCTAAATGTAAATATTAATTTTGAATGATCTTATTTATGTTAATTTTAACATGAAATCCATGAATCATACATGAGGGTTCAAAAATCTAAATTTGTAGAGTTGTAAATGGTTCCTTACAAGTTAATACCAAATATATTGGTTTAATCAAGCCTAAGAGCTCCAAATACCCTTTGATCCCAAATTTTTGCCTTTCCCAAAGATTAAAGTTTTTTGTTCATATTCCATGGGATGTCGAGAGCTTACGAGGTTTTAAGTTATGTAGAAAATCATGGGAGAAGTTCATAAATTAAGTAAACGTGTGCAATTGAGAATTACTATATCTCATAGTTGAACTGAAATAGTCAAGTTAATTTTTGTTTGAAAGCATATGTTAAAATAAATCATGCTTTAAGCAATATTCATTATCCAACACTTTCACTTCTGTTAACTTTGTTGAAGTTCTCATAATCTTTAGTTTCCTTTAATCTGGAGAAATAAAAATTAAATACAAAACTAAATCGGTACAAGAATTTAATGAACTAGATATTGATAATTACTATATATATTCTGGTGATATTTACTACAAAGTAAAGAACATATGGCGATAGGGAAATTATAATATTTTGCTCATTATATTACTATACCCAAAGTGTAAATGGAATGCAAGGTGGCACTTGTTCATCCTCTATTTCATCAATATAGCTATGCCTCTTGGAAGAGCAAGATAATTTTTAGAAGTACACTTATAATAGTGCTTGTTATGAAATAATTTGGTGTTCATGTAATTTTGTCTTGCTACATTTTATTTCTGCAGTGTTGGTTCTGAAGAAGTATACGTGCTCTTATGTTCTTCGTACTAGACACTCGTACAGAGCCAGTAAAATACTTCTTAAACAATTTTATCAGTCTTATTGTGATATAATTGTTACACAAACAAGAGATTTAAGCATTGTAGTAAAAAGAAATATGTTGAGCCAATCTGAGATTATCCTAGGCCTTATTTGTTACTTTTAGAATTTGGCAGAGTTGAAAATGGTACCATTTTGAGGCACCCATTTCTTCAAACTTAGTTATATACACTGTGAAGACTTAATCCGCTCCAAACTAGAAAAATATTCATCAAATTGGTTTCTTTTCCTATTTTTGACAATACAAAATTAAGCATGACATCTGCTTTCATCGGAACATAAAATTAAAACTATTTTTCAATACCATGGAAATCCTTTACCAGTGAATGACCTTGATGTTTACATTTTTTTTGTAATTATATATTGTTAACTGTGTAAGTAGGTGACAAAGTTTAGACAACTTCAAACCATTGTAAACATTTCTTTTTATTCTATCAGATATAACAGTCTTTAAACTCAATTATTTAATTCAAAACAACTTCAGTATTAAACTTTTTAGAACAGGGTGTGCATAAGAGCACAAAGACACACACATTCCTGCATATCATATACTATACAATAATGTGAGAACACTTGAAGAATAAAGCACATTGCTAGAAAAGGATGATCAATGTTTTTTCTGTGCTCATAACATGGAAAAGAAATTAAATTTAAAAACATTCCACAGAAAATCTACAATAATTAGGTGTGTCACTATTACACTTTCAAGCAAGAAATTGGGCATTGTGCTTCACCATCAAGAAATTTTTTAATCTCAGGTTTATTTTTAAGATTATCTATATAGCAGATCTAAATTTTAAACCACATAATTGATGTAACTCATTTATAGGAAGCCCTGTGTTTACACAATAATATATTTAAAAAAAAATGTGATTAATTTTAAAAAAGATAAAATATTAATGTCATTATTCTGTTCCAAAGAAATTTCAAAAAATGTATGGCTACTTTGAATATACAGAGTTCTCTCTGTAAAAAAATACTTCTGTCTAGTACATGTTCAAAAAGTATAGTTAATTTGAATATATAAAGAGTTCACTTTGAAAAGAACAAGTATATTATATTGATAATTTAAAAAAAATTCTTTTCAGTTGAATTATTTTTCTTGGGGAAAATGTAGCGAAATATTTCACCATGAGTGAGAGAAAGAAGAAAAAAAAAGGTCATCATTACTTTGCAAAGATTAATATGCACATTGGTGTATCAGCTATTTTTTCACATTTGCTAGTAAAAAAATTATATTGAATTGCTAGTTATGAATTTTGAATATCAATGTCTGGCGTAACAAACAGAAAAGTGCACTTGTATAATCAAACTTATTCCATCATATTCAAATTACAATAAAAACTTTTTGACAAGTCACTCTTCCAAAACTGAAATACAAATCAGCACTAAAGTTAGGTGCATTTCATGAACAACAGAAACATATAATTTGATTTATGTTTTGTTCTATGTACAAAAAGTCTTCTGATGATATGGTTGAATGCTGCTGAACAGAGAAAAAGGAGAACCAATAACTTTTTTAACAACAAATGTAAAAAAAAAAAAAAAATTGTATGTTGAGAAGGTAAGTTAAAAAGCTATAGGCATGCTAATAATACTAAGCAGAATTAATACACTTTTTTTTCCTCATGATTTTTGAATATAAACTTGGAAAAAATTAAACAAAACAGAATTGCAAGTCAGTTAAAGAAATTATATGCAGTTGATATTTTGGAAACATACACAATGGTAAGTATTAGAAAATAGGAATGACGGTATTTTACTCTTCTTTCTTTATTCCTTCAGTAGCTAACTTGGTGGCAGCTGTAAAGGAAAAACATTTTCCTTACTTATGAAATTTATAAAAGCAACAGTATCTGGGTGTATACGTTATTATAACATATTATCATAAGCTATTATGTACCTACAAATATTTTAACTTAAGTTTATACTACATATATATCTAGTATCTTGAGATTACATTTTTTTTTTTCTGAAGTATCTAATATATACTTGTGCAAAAATATAGTTGAAAGTCTAGGCTGTTCTCTTCCTTAGTCAGTGTATTGTTTAAAATAAAAATATTTGATAAATATATTTTCCTAACTTCCATTATAAATGTTCTCAGCTCTTACAGGGGATCACTGCATTTTTTGTTTGTAAAGGTTCCTATTTCTAAAAATGTACAGCAAAGTGTGATTGCAAAAAGCATAGTTAAATATGTATAAATGATTTATATTTCATTAATAATAAATGTGAATTTCTATACACATCTGCAAAATTTTCATCAAGAAAATCATTACTTTGATATGATGATAGAGATTTTACTATGTGAATTTATATAATGCTTCTAATGAAGCCTGAATTAATCCCTCACCAGGGCCCTAGCCAGGCTGAGGCAAAGGAGGCAATTGCCTCCTCACTTTTTCCCAAAAATCAGAATGCCCCTATAAGGAAAATTTTAACATTGGAAACAAACAAAATGTCATCAGTAGGAAAGCAACTCCAATCAGTCAATTAAAGGGTCCCTAATCAGTCAACAAAGAGACTGCCAAGCAGTTATTTAATTGCTCTGTACATTATGTATTATTTAAAAACAGCAAAGGGATTTCTCGATCTGTCAAAAAATGGGCCCCAATCAGTTTTTTAATTCACATAGTCCCAATTTCATAGAGATAGCACTCCAACCCCCCCCTCCCAACCAGGGGCCCGCTTTATACCTTATTTTCAACTTCTAAATGATGAAATTTATTTATACTCAAAGTAAAATTTTATAGTTATGCAATGTTCTGTTGTAACTATTTTTATGACAAAATTTCATTTGGAGTCGGGGGTGGGGCCCCTTCAAGAGTTTGCCTCCCCACTTTTTCAGCACTAGATATGGCCCTGCTTACATAAAAAATGCTGCAAAATCTTTATAGTTCACAAATCTATTCCAGATAATTATGGTAATATTGTCTCAAAAATTTTACTGCAAAGTTTTTGGTTAAAAATATGCATTTACCTTTAAATTTATAGTTTATTGTAAGATTTTGGGGGCCTACTTTGTGCAAGTGAAAAGGAAATAATGGATGAGGATGAAAATAAAGTTTTTACAGGTTTGTATGATACCACATGCAAGTTTTAGAATATAAAGCAGTCTGTCAAACTAAATGATTAACATTTTCAATCATTTTTCATAAATTATGATGTTTGTAGTTAACACTTAATATTGAAAATACATTTGCTGCTTTTTTAAATTTGAATTATAATTTAAGTACAATTAAAATATATTTATTAGCAACATGTTTATTTAGCATATAAATAAGTAATGAATATCTCTAGAACACAAAAATAAATCAAAAAGTGCATGAAAAAATATTACACCAAAAAAGTAGGAACAGAAAGTAATTAAAAAGATGTGCAAAACTAATGAAATTTTTACCTAATTTTATAAAACCTAAACCTTTTTACCTTTGCCAGCAAAATCAGTAGCCTTAGATACAGCTGAGTCAATGTAATTGTCAATTTTTTCTTTGTTCTTCAGAAAAACTGGTCTAATGAAACGACGGTAGATGAACTGAGAACCATTGAAATTAACTGGTGCGAAACACCAAATCATGAATACACACTAGAAAAAAAATAGTACATCTTACAATTATAAAGTTTTCTAGGATTGATCATTTAGTTTTGGTTATAAAATACACTAATTATAAAACTTAATTTGCCTTCTCCAAGCAATAAGAAATATTCATAAAATCTATAAAGTTTCATATGTAAAATGAAACTAAGAGATCCTTAATTCTACTGTGACTTAAATCTATTCATTTGGGTTTTACTATGGTTTTAACCTTTCATTCCCTCACTTCCCTTATTAGGAAAATCATACATATTTTTATAGGAGGTTCTCACACTAATTGTAGCATCTATAGGCCAATAACCTTCTTCCCTAGAGAGAAGTACCGTGTTCAGTTTCCACCACCCCCACACCCCCCCCCCCCAAAAAAAAAAGAGTGAAAAGGCTTGGAGGACTTTCAGGCTACACAGATTTTTACATTGCAGAGCCATAATGTAATACTTAGCAGTAGTATAACAGAGGATAAACAGTAACAATCTGAGCTAAATTCAAAGATTAAAGTCTAGTGAAGAAGTTATTCACTGAATTAATTATAAAATTAGGCCATTAGGATAATGTGAATAACTTGGACTTGACAATTCGTACTATTTAGATACGTGTAAAAACAAAATAATTTTTTGTCAGTTTTGCTTTTAATTTTGAACTAACTAATTCAAAAACAGATAAGCCATCTTTTTTGAAATTGTGAAAACTGAGAATTAATTAGATTTTATTCGTTTTGTAAGAAAACATTTCACATGTGTAAATCTTGTTTTCTCTCTTTAGGATCCTGCTTTTCTTCAGGTGGTACAGATGCAGATTTCTTGAGGTGAGTTTAGTGAACATCAATAAGAAACGTTTTTGTCTTTTACGATAGATATTAGAATATCAAAGTAGTTTAAATTTTTAAAGAATGTTGGAATTGTGAGTTGTAATTATTAAAGTTCATCCAATGATTGACAAAATAACCTGAGTAATTTATCTGGCACAACAGATAAACAATTTGGTCTTTCACTAATTGGTTTTTGGAATTCTTTGGGGGATTTCCTGACAGTTTTATTTATTTTTTTAGTTGTAGCATTACTTATACTTAGTTAAGAAAGTAAAGTCATAAAAGCATTTTTTTAACTTTCTGACTAATGAAAAAGAAATTACTTACAGTAGTCATTGATAGTTTATGTAGTATCACATGTCTACAGACCCCTCTAACATGTTGTGTATCAAATGTGCCTAAAATTAGCCTCAGAATATTTCAGACTTCTTTCTTTGCCCATTCTCATCTCTGTAGTTGTGGATGTGTCAGTTGTATAACACATGCACTTAAACCTCTTGCAGAGAACTTCCTCTCTGTATTTGAAATGAGGTTCTTGTTTCTTATTAGTACTTTTATGCTCAAAATTTAATATCATCAGGATTTATATAACAATAACATTGCATTGATTGTATGCAGTGAGTTGTGTTTGGTTTTGAACAAGAAATTTAAGAATTATTACAACTTATTTAGTTAACTTTTTATTACATAACCAGGAAGTATAGTGTGATCTCCAACAATGAACAGAGGGCCAGGTACAAGTCAGATTTCAATGCAGAATATGAAGAGTACCTCACGTTACATGGGTTGTTAGTTGATGTCTCCAAGAAATTTGCTGCGTTAGAATGTAGTTTAAGACAGTTTGATGAAGGCTCAGAGGATTGGGAAGTGAGTGAGTTTTACGAACAAACATTTACCAGAATAGTCATATAGAGTCATCTTTCATTGTTGTGTTGTTTTTTTATAACAACACATGATCAAATAAAAAAATAATTGTGGAATTGAAGCATATAACTGTAGGTTATTATAACATTTTTGTAAATAATGAAGTATATTTATCAAAATATTGGTTTTTATATTTCTAGTTATTTTAAATGTAAAAAAAAAACCCGATTGTGGAAGTATTTTTGAATGTTTCACAACTAATAACTGCTAAAAAATACTATGAAATTGTGTAAATGTATTTACTCTTGGAAACAGTCATGTCAAATTGCAGTTGTATTGATAGCACTCGTGTTCACTCTAAAAAAGTGACTATTGTGTTATTTAGTAATTTTATAGATGCCATGGAATATTTTTAATTTAATTGGTAAGTTAAAAATACTCAAATATTTATTTTATTTTTGTCAAGTATTGTCTACAGGCTTTAGCATTACATCAAAAGTGTATATTCTGGTAATGATTAATGGTTTGGATGACGACTGTGGAATTTAGTAAACATTATGCAATATATACCAAGTTGTTTAATGATGGCATTCTGTTATTCTTGATTCTGTTTCTGAAGAACAGATGATTATGCAGAACAGAAACCCCATATCTAAACTAGTAATGCTTTGGAAAACTGTTATTGTAGGAAAACTAAACTGAGCAAGAGGCATATTATGAGTCATGTTTTATTCAGGAAAGTTGAATTTAATAAATAGCATTTCAAAAACTATTACAGAAGGTGTTTGATATGCTTTTTATCATTAATCAGCATATTAAGACTATCCATAAAAGGAGTTACTATAAGTATCATCTATTTGGAACATTACTTAGTAATCCTTGCATTGACTTGTTCTGACATTTTATTAAAATCACCAATTTCATATTTTTGAAAGGGATAACAGGAAAGAAATAAGAATAATGCTTATTTTAGAAAAAACTGATTTATATATGGTTTTAGCTTTATACCATTACCAAAGTTTAATAAATAAAACTTGCGATTTGAGAATGTGCCTCTTATGAAATTTTATTGTTTCTAGAACAATAGTTTTTAAATTTAAATATTTTAATATGGGGTTTTCTTTATAATCACCCAGTATAAGAGTAAGGACTTGAGCTTGCTTTGGTTAAATAATTTATTGCACATTGTATTTACTTAATATAAGGCTTGTAAGTGTGGGTTTAGAACCTTGGTGAAGGACTCATTTTGAGGATGTCACAGTTTGTACCTGTAAAACCTTGGTGTATTCCTTTGTATTTCCATTGATAAAAAATATTTAGCAGTTAAACAACACTTAAAATCTTTGGAATTATTGAGTAGAAATATTTCTAATAATCACTTTCTTTAATATGAACTCTTGAATGTAAGTAAGAATAAAGCTCTTACTGTATCCTTTTATTTTACTAAGAAATAACTTCATAAAATTAAGAAAATCCATATTATGCCTTTATTATCCACAAATTATTGTTTTGATTTTTGAGATCTTATTACTAAATAAGATATTTTTATATACTTTTTTGTAGCAAATTATGCACCAGATTAAAGCAGAATACAAAGAAAACAGAAGGAAACAATATCACCTTACAAAGAAACGATTTCAGTACTTGCACAATAAGTTATCTCATATTAAACAACTTGTCGTGGATTATGACCAGGCTCAGTGTTAAAGTCTAGAGAATCTCTTCCTGCCCAAACTGGATCATGAAAAGTTTTTATGGAAAATTAAGTAGCAAAAGATGTTTGAGAGACTTTGTGTGAATTTTGTAAAAATTGTAGAGGAATTTCTGAGACTTAATGTGTTCATATTCAATCTTGAAAAATGATACTTAAATATAAGAAGTAGATAAAAAATGAAACTGTAGGTGATTCCCTGTGAAGAACTTGCCAAATTCACATGAAATGTTAAAAGTTTGAAATGCGAATATACAGTATCTGTTGTGAAAATGAAGTGTAGCTGACTGGAATAATGTGTCTAGCCAACTACTTTCATATATGTATAACCCCTTCCCATTTTTACTTTCACCCAGTTTGCATTCCGTTTGTTTTTCATAAACTTAATAACCTGATCAGTTTATTCATGTGTACTCTTTAATTATTATTTTTGCTAATTTCCATGTCTTTTCTCTTTTTGTTTTGAAGTAGATTATATATATATATATATATCTCAAAGAGCAAATTGGATCACTTTGAAAACATACCAAAAAATACAGTTAATTCATATCATTTTTCTGTCATTTTCAAAATCTAAATAATATTACAATGGCCATTTAAACTATGAATCTTAATTTTATAGAAAATATAATTATGGTGCAGCTTAGAGTTGTGTGTAGCTCATTCAATTTGGCTGCTTATCAGTCCATGTGAAGTCATGATGAAGTAACTTGTGTTGCTGTGATAGGGATTAGTCTGCTTCAACTTGTGTGGTGAACATTCCACTTTCATGTTCCTGCCTTTTTTTTTTTTGGACATGTGATATTTCAATATTTGAGCTGAAAACTTGTACAGCTTTATGTGTTTTCAAACAGAAGAATGACTGTTAATGTTTGTCATGTGTGTTTGTATATGTGTTGTGTAAAGAAACAGTGTTATTTATGGTCTGCTTTCATATTAGATTTTTTTAAAATCTTTATTTGCTTAAGTTGATGCCTACCTCACAAAATCCACAAACATCGCTGATTTAATCTTTTGATGAAAGGAGTTTTGTCCATCATTTGTAACAGGAGATATAACATTGGTCAGCGTGACACTTTTCTCAATATTTGTTCATATGTGGTTTGATTATTGCTGTAACACAAAGAACAATTTATTTTCATTCAAATTATTTAACCATATATATAATTTTTTCTTGCTTGATTCGTTTCTTAAACAAATTGTAACACAATGTTATAGCTCTTAAGTTTTTAGTTGACAAAAAAACGTTTGATGCTAATTACTATTGATGACAAAGTACAATTAAAGATAAGTTTCAGACTGCTTGGTACAAAGTGGTTGTGTATAAATCTAATGTTCTTCAAGTCAGTTACAAAATTTGTGTTCTTAATGAGCAATGTTTTACATATTTTTTATGAGATAAAAGTCTTGTTTAACTTAACATACAATATATATCAAATTATTGTAAATTTATTAGAAAGTTATGTGAAGAAAAACTAGTTGACAGTTTACAAAACATGTTTTCAGTCTTGTTCAGTGACCTGTAATCTGTGTGTTCAGAATTTTTGCAGTCACTTTGGTTTGTCTGTCTCACTAGTTCAAGGATACGTGAAAAATGGTCCTACAAGTGCTTGGTGTTGTTTTATTTTCTGGTTAGATATATCAAATTTTCTTGTTGGCTAGGTTATGACATAATTAAAGAAAACTGTGCTTCTAATAGTGATGGGAATTATTTTGCTAATTGTAAGTTATTTATAGTTTCTTAAACTATTCTGAAAGTATAATTCAGGTGAACAAATTAGTAAAAAAAAATAATGATAATTTCTGGTGTATTTTGCTTATTAAAATATAGTATACATTAAAATTATGAATGCTTAAAATAAAGAAAAAGTTTAAATTTGTTTTGTAATACTTTAAAATTGTTACTTTATTTGCTTCCATTCATGTACTTTTTCTTGGTAGTTACTGTGTTCAGTTTTTAAATGTCTGTTGTTGATTACTTATAATTTAATAGCAAAGTGTTGAATTCCACCACCAGCTTACTTCAAGTAGAAGTAAACCATGTAAAGATGTCAAGAGGGGGTTGTATGACTTGAAAGTTTACAAAAAAAAATACAGTATTCAATAATTGTAACATTAAAGTAGAAACACTGCCGACGTTTCATCTTGATAAAAATTCACCTCTCAACGATATTCATGTTGACGACTGGAACGGCTAAACGACAATTTTGTTAATATTTTTGGTATGTGTACCTATTAGTCAGTAACTTGTTGCTTGCTTATGTTCTCACCTGCTCTTGTATGTAGAAGCTGGTATTAGGTTGTTCCGATTTTTCAATTTATATTATACAAAACTGTGGGTATTGTTATAAACACTGACTAAATAAAGGTGATGTAAATATTTATTGTCTAGTAATGTGACCTTGCTTATAGATGTTTTGTTAAGTATAAATCAACTAAGAAAAGAAAAATACAGATGTATGTTAATTTCTAATAATGATACTTATGAAGATGTTCTTCTCAAAATATTTTAACATATTAACCCTCTATTGCACATTGTAACAAATCTATCTTTGTTTCTTCATACACATACAAATGCTTCAATTCTATACTGTTACTCCCAGGTAACAGTCTAAATAAACCATGGAATTATGTTTGTTGGTTCCTTAATCGAACAATTTTCTTCTAGGTAACATACCCATTTACAAATTACCAAAAAATATTGCACAAAAACATTTTTTGTACAGTATATATATTTATGTAAGAAGCTCAAAGAAAACATTTTCCACTATTTTCATGATATGTGCAATAGGTGGTTAATATTTTTGTAACCAGTTCAAAGAAACTATTCAAATATAATTTGTTTAAGATAAAGAGTTACTGAGTTGAGTATCCTCTTCTGAATGAGAAACAAATGTAATAATCCATTAAAGGAGTATAGTTTATTAATGGTGGCATGTCTTACATACTCTATAGAGGTTTATTCAAACATGCAAGTGTATAAAAACTTTACTGTCAAAATTGTTTTTGGTTTTATAGGTAACTTAAATGAGAGTGATAAGTATTTTTCTTGTAAGAATTTTATAAATTATACTTTGAAAGCAAGAAAGGAATAAAAAATTATTGTAAATTTAAGGCTTCATAAAATGTATACATGTATCGGAGGGTTTTAAACATCCAATTGCAGTTAACTTTATTCTTAAATAGTTTAGTTCAGGTTAATCTTAATACACATAAATTATCTTTCTGACAAAAAAACAACTTGAATTTTCAACATAAATATTAAACATTGTAAGATAGTATCCTTGGACTTAGATCTTGAGCTGCAAGTTTTTAGGAGGAAACTTTATATGCAGATCAAGAATTGTATATCCTCCTTAAGTAGTTAAAGAAGCAGTAAAAATAGTGTACTCTATAAAGATATATTTCCTTTTGATCATTTGGAATAACAAGTGGTACAGTCAATATGAGCAATTTCTAGATTCTTTTGATGTTCAGCTCGGAGGGTGTGACTATTGTGTAGTTGAGTTCATCTTTAAACGAAATGCCCAAAACTGTCTGATGAATTAAGTATATATTTAAAATATAGTATTATAAAAATTTCAGTATTATTATAAGACTACTTTTTTTAACAGAAAATTTGAAATCTAAAATTAGACCTGGGAAGAACTTTAAAAATATTTTATAAGCAACTGGGCTGTTAAATATTGATTGTAAGTATCATTATGTAAACAGAATAAAATATGCATTTTAAATTTAAACATATTTAATCTTAAACTTATCCAAAAACACTATTATACTGGATTATTTGAGATACATTTGCGAGTAGAACTAAATATACTTTATTTTAAAATAATAATTATCACCTGTTAATATTGCTGGATGAGTATCATCTAATCAATCTGTGTTATCAGTATATGTTTGCTTTTTCTCAGTGCTTGAAACTAAATTATATACAGATTTGAAAATCAAGAAAGTTTTCTCTTTTATAAATCTGTTACCAGAAGTTGTTTTATTAATGCTACAGTCAAGCAAATATGGCTGAAATTTTGAATATTTTCATATACTCAAGTTGACTAGTATTGAACAGTGAAAGTTTTATTTAGAGGTTATTAGTATGTTTCATCTTAATGTTAGTAGAGAATATCTATATTATAGTGGTATTTTATAGAAACTGTATTAAGCTATTAACTACCAAGGGAAAAGGGATGTTATTATCTTTTAAAGTGCCATTATTTAATAGTGTGAATGGTCAACTGCAACTTAAAAAAGAAAAAAAAAATTGTGGTTATAATTATTCATTCCAAGTATTTTTCTGAACTAAACTGGATAGCAAAAGAATTCTTGGACTGCTGCCCAATAGGTGAACAAGTTGTATGCTTGCTGCCACATCTGATGTTTTATAACAATAATTATGAAGCATTTTATTTTATTAAAATCTCTGATCAAAAGTTATAGTTGCTTCGAAAAGAAATCCTTGAATTTAATACAAAATAATGCATTTTCTGAACCTTCATGTTTATGCATTTATCTAAACATTTTTTTTAACTAAAGTAATATAAACAACTATGAATAAGGATTAAGAGCTTTTAGGAGTTTTAATTTCAGTGAAAAATTGTAGAGAACCACGTTGAGTTTGCAAAACTTTAAAAATGATTACTGTTACACAGGAAATAGCATGTTAGATTTTAGGATCCTCTGGGGAATCAAATGATTAAAATGTTTTGGAAATCATAGTGAAGAGAAAATTAGATGAAAAAATTGTATTTAAGCCTCGCAAAAAGAGCATTTTCATGAATCATCATTTTACTAAATGTTCTTGGCAAAATCTCATTTTCAGACTAACTGTTTTGCTAGTACAGTGAAGATCAGATGTGACATTAAACATACTTTTTTCTTTTTTAAAGAGAGAAAAATCACACCTTAATTGGGTGGCTGTAGTGGTGCCAGTGAGTGTTGCAAAGTGATGTATACATTCATAAAATAAACATTTGTTGCATTTACGAGTCTTTAAGTGTTTTTATTTCCAGTACTAGATCATTTTGTATTGCCAGTAAAAGGGAATTGGTGATAGAATAACTTAATAAATATATTAAATAGTCAGAAATATGAAAAGAAAGGTCTTACTACAATAATGCAAAGTCACAGAAATGGAATTTGCATGATTGTATCTCACTAGTAAATTCTTGTGAAAAATTAAAAGTAAAATAGTCATTCAAGGCAATGTGTAGAAAATATGTTCTTTCCAGTTTAAGTTATATATATATATGCCTCCCCTAGCAGTAACATACAGATATTAATGTTGTTGTGAAAGATTATGTAAATTAGACAGTTACATGAGATGTAACCTCATGATCTACCACTAAATAAAAATCCTTTCTAGACATTAAACGAGGCGGTTCACACGAGACACAGTTCGAACAAACCTCCTTGATATTGAACGAGTCGGTTCACACGAGATACAGTTGGAACAAACCGCCTCGATATTGAACGAGTCGGTTCACGAGATACAGATCTACTTGGATATTAAACGAGTTTGTTTATGAGATATAGTCAGAACAAACTATTGCTGATTGTTGCTCGATATTCATGTTATTGATCTTGAAGTGGTTTAATTTTGGAATACTTTGTTTGTTGGAATTATGTTTTTTCTTCTTCTGTTTCTTTTTCCTAATTCCTTTGTTTATTAAAATTAATAACATTGATATTTATGTTGTATTGTTTATTAGTGTTTGTATTAAGTCCTGGCCAAGAAAAGGTTTACTTTGTTTTTTGTAAGTGATAAAACTTGTTTTCCAATTTTCCAATTGTTTGAATATTCTATTCTGGATTCCTGTTATTGTTACAGTTTAAGAAGTTTGTTTTTTGTTCAACCCTGGTTTAGCAGCATTTTGTTTTAGTCTGTTACGAGAGTAGAATGCACTGTTTCATCAGTTGGGTTACCTTGCTGCAAACAGTATGTTCAACCATAATTCCAATAACATCTAACGAGGTTTGGTCAGCTTAGAAGATTTAGGTTAGTCCTAAATACATATTTCAAACTAACAGTACAAAATAATCTTTATAATAAAAGTATAATAATAAAAAGCAATAAATCAAAATAAAAAGTAATGACAATTGATATACTAACTAACATAACCAACACTGTTAGTGAAAGTAACCATAAATAAGTAATAAAGTAAATATAAATCTTGTCAAGTTAGTAGCAGTAATTTTCCCATAGAACAGCCAAAAATACAAAATAATAAAAACAATACCTGAACTGACCATGATAGTACAACAATGTTAAGTGTACCACGAAGAAAATAACATGCTAAACATAATATGTAGTGTGTTTAAAAACTTTTTCAACCAATCTTATATTAACTTTTCCCTGTAAGAAACACACAGAAATGGCTACAGGAAGTAATAAATAAATAAAGTTAAATCTTTTTTAAAATGGAAACATGATAGGCATCTAGACAGAAGAATTTACTATAAAAATAATAATACATAATAACGGAAGATACAAAAGGTGTTAATACAATGAACATAATGCAAGAAAAGCACAGAGTTCACTATTAAACATAAGCTCTATAAGAAACAGATGTCACTTGTGATGGACGTTCGTAAACGTATGAAGAACGAAAATAAAAACAATTATGTAGAATTCCGAAACATTAAACAAGTGCCAAATTTCTTGGGAAAAAAAAGTACCTATCTACCTTGTTTACTGGGATAATCAAGATAGGTGACATGCAATAGTAATCTTCAGCCTTCGGCCAAAAAGAGAGTTTGAGGTTTTTTAACGAGCACCAAAGCCTTCGGCATCCACTGATATTTCCCACTTGCTGAAAAACCCACAAAAATATTACATAATGTGGAAATACTACTAATTATTTTATAAAATGCAGTCTAGAATACATATTAATATATTCATCTTTCTGAACAGAAATAGAGTTAAGGCACAAAAATTATTGTCATAATTACAATTAGAAAAAGTCACGAGATAAACACAAAGCAAGCACATTCAAATTGATGCTCATGAAAAAAAAAAACAAAACTCTTTTAAAGATTTTATTTGATTTCTGAAAGTCAATTTCATATTTTTTGCAAACAATTA